CTACTGTATGTATGCAGATGGTATTGGATTATGAAAAATATGAAGACGACTGAGGTTATTATGACCAGATAAGAGAGATAGTTAACGGAAAAGAGGAGCAAGGCTTCAAACTGAGTACGAGAAAATGAAATGAAAGGCTACGAAGGTTTCTGGGAAGGTGCTGAGAAATGAGAGATAAAAACAGGAGTCATGAAAAACGAGTTAAAGACTCTGATATTAGTCTCCTCCTTTGTTTTTTTCCTCTTGGTTCTTGTCCTATGCTGGTAAGAAACTCTTTCAACGCCTTCCTCGTTCGTCTTGGATTATACGCACTTTTCTATGTCGACACGTGTCTTCTCTTTTAAAGGAACTGGTAAACCCATTTTAATATTCAAATCTTGACACTTCAAACTCGTTATAGTTAAGAATAATAAATGAGACAACTGATTATTGATGAAGTGGGCCAATGCCACCCAATCCTGTATTGTTTCTCGTTTCTCAAAAACGTGTTGTCACAGTTTCACAGTTAACAAAGGATTTCATCTCAGTAAACAGATAAAATACCCATAATAATATATAGTTTTAATTGGTAAAGACATAATAAATATATGTATATTCTATAATTAAGTAGCAAAGATGTAGTGACACTACAGTAGTGCATGTTATGTGGAGTATTGATGTCTCTTAATTGTTCGAAAAGCTAAAATCCAGAAAGCATAATTGTTTTTTAATGCACTGTACCATTTCCAACTTAAAACCACTTGCGGAGTTGAGAGTTGAGACGGTCATCAAATTTTAATATGTACGATTATTTTAATATATAATGTAAACATATGCCTATCTATCGCGTCTAAAATGAGGTCTACTTTCTTATTTTTATTACTAAATGTAGAATTTCCGTTGTCAAAAACAAGTTGATGGTGGAACAAGAACGAGATGGTCAGTGTAGCTGTAGCATATAACTTAGTTTTATCACTAAAATCCATCCTTATTTTATAAGATATGTCTTCAATTTCAACAATAAATCAATATAATATAATATAATATAACGGTAAAAGTAAAATTCATCCTTACTTTATAATATATTCTTAAATTTAAAAAATAAACCAATATAATATAACTAATATCCATCCTTACTTTATAAGATATTCTTCAATTTAAAAAATAAATCAATATAATATAACTGCTGTTATTTTTATTTTCATCCTAAAGGGATAAGGTCAGCTTGGCTAGGTGTAAGATAAAATTATACGTGGTTCATTAATATAAAAATAACATTATTGTGGTTTAAAAATAAATTGAATATTATATAATTATTATTTTAATAGTTACACACGATGAAATGTATATTTGTGGAAAGTTTATTTCTTAGAAACTTTATCCTCACTTTGCCTATTAAAGAAAGTCAGAACTTGTTTTCTCCATCAATCAGAAAAACAAAAGTTCTGGAAAATTAAAGATAGGAAAGGGGAGAGAATCCAATATCAGAGGCTCTACATACATGTGACTGACCCGTTTTAAATTTTTAAGTTTAATATTAATAATTTATTTGTTTTAATTGTTTTACGTTTAACATATATAACTTTCTAGAAGCACAATAATTTAAAAACTATAACCCAAAATTGCTTACTCGGTCATAAAATAAAATAGCTGTGTATGTGTTTACAACAGGACAACATCAGCTCATTATGCAAGTCGTAAAAAGGACAGCTTTGATTTTATCTCAGGAAATAGTCACGCGCTATATGCAATCAAATGCCTGGCCATGAAGAGTACATAAAATAAATTAAAATAGATAACGTGTAAAATATATTATTAGATAGTACCTAGGTTTCTTGGGAGTTTTTAAAGCAAGAAATCAACCATTTCATTATTGTTTATGCCGGTCATTGTTTTAAAATTCGGACCATATCGGTTGGTTCGACTGGCTGACCAAGAATTGGCCCCTTCTCCGATCCAAGGACACTCTAAGCCCAGTTTCAGTCATTGCCCCGGATTGACCTGTGATTGAACCGGCGGAACAATGCTGAACCGTCAGTTCAACCACTAGGTCAGAGAACCGCCTCTACATTGTTGCTTGAAAGAGACGCCCCGTGTTTCTTCTTTGCGTCACACGCCTTGCGATTGTGACCCGCCACACCTCAGCCATTCCGCCACCTACAAACACGCCCATACCCCACCACCTCGGCAATCCCACGCACCACCAACAACACCCTTACAACCTTCTCAATTGATCGGGCCACCACACCCACCCACTCGCAATCGCAAACATGTTCTTGATTATTGGGAGTTTTTTTGGTTTTGTTTGATTGTAGGGAGATTGTTGTTTCGTTTTGTTTGATTGTTGGGAGTTTGGATTGGAGTTTTGTTTTTTGTGTGTTTGTTTGGACTGCCGGCCGTCACCGTCGGCCACCCATATTTTTCCTCCCACTCGACCCACCACCTGCTCGACATATTTCCTAAACCAATCCTGCCTAGCACAACCACGTCCAACCTATTACGCGTGCCACCAATGGGTTTTGTTGTGGCGGACGGTGGTCTTTTGTGCTGGATTAGGGTTTTCGTGGTGGCTTAATGGTGGTTTGTCCAATATTGAGCTAATCTGGGGTGGATTGTAGTAGTGACGGCTAGGGTTTCCTAGCTAGATCACAGGGCTGTGTTTGCTAGAATTCAAACATGCAGGGAGTGATGTAATTTCTCAGGGGTATGTCTACTAAGTTTCATACTAGGGCTTCATGCTAAAGTCATCAGTCTGACCCGTTGATCGGGCCACCCAACTCGAGTGCCGACCCTTTGACTAGGTTAAGGCTCGGGCAGGGTTTAAAAACATTTGTGCCGTGTGAGACTTTTTTTTTTTCAAATCTTGATTGAGACAAAGAGTTTCAAATGTTATATATATTATTAGATAGTACCTAGATTTCTTTGTAACTCAACAATAGTAATTGATTAATCGTGAGATTGGGTTGTAATTGTCACTTGTATTTTAAATTACTAGTAAGACATGTTTAGTTAATCAATTTAAAATATTATTATGTATTGTAGACGGTAAAATCTACGGTTAAGTTGAGAGGAACGTCCTGTGTGAAGTGAGCCACTGACAATATGTTGTACTTGTACAAAGAGCAAAAAGGAACTTGAAGGCCAAAAACACATCGGTGTGGTGCCTACTATAGACAGTTCGATGCTCAAGTTAGTGAGGCTGAGGGTATTTAGTGAGGGCTAAAGGACGAGAAGGAATACCAGAATAATGTGATGGTTCTTGAAAGCAAGAACTTTGAGAGCTTAGGTGCGGGTGATTTCTGAATGCCTAATAAAAGTATTTACCTCTGTTTATATAGTGAACCCAAGGGGTTGGACTCTTAGTAGGAGTTTGACTCCTACTTGGTAGAGGAGTTCAATTTGGGAAGGAGATATGATTTCTTGCCTTTATCAGATTAAGCCTTCCACTTTAAGTAAGGTTCAGAATCTTTACAGAAGTGGAAATTAAATAGATTCCCATTGTGGATTGCTATGGGCGAATGGGTTGGAACCCAGTTTTGCTTAACTTGCAGGATAGCCTAACTCATATAGAGGGTAGTTCGCAAAGTAGATTTAAGCGTAAACCCAACCGGAATTGGGCTAAGGCCTTGGGCCGTAATCTGTTCATTTCATTATTGGGCCTAAATGCGATATTTGGCCCATACATGTACAAAATTGTCACATAGTATATTTTATATTTTATAAAGGGATTGCAATAGTTGAGTTTGCTTTTAATAGTGTTACATACCAAAAAATAATAATAATAATAATAAAATAAAGAATAAACTTAAAATTCGATCGAACCTTCTTAGCTTGTTACAGTTAAACGGCGTAGGCTTTGACTGCAACATCAATATCATTGCGTAAATCTTTGGCCAACAATTTCAAAGGTTTTTGCAATGTCCCTAAATGTGGCGTTGGCGACTTCAACAACAACAACAACAATTTCAAAAATTATGCAACAAACTAACACGCCACAAGATTTTGTGTTATGTGATTGTATGCTTTTTGGTCTAGAGAGAATTAATTTATACATACGTGTTATTGCAGTTTCTAAGTTGTTTGCTTTTTAAACTTGTTCTTTAGCTTATGTAACAGTTTTTCTATTGTAATTTATGTTCGTCCATTAAAAGAAGCTTTTTAGTTTTATTATTAACAATTGGTTTCTTAAATAAGGTTCAATTTTGACATGAGTAATTGTTGATAAAGTTTGTTACGGGCTAAAGTCAAGCAAAAGTTCTTTGTTATGATAATAAGTTTGTTGAGAAGTATTAATGAATATTTATGTGTAAGTTAAGGGCTAAAGTCAAGAAAAATAGAGTTTCCCGCGAGGATGTAGTGTGTAAGTCAATGGATAAGGGTTTTAGGTTTTAGGCTACATGCTTGTATCAGTTATATATATCTATTTTTCTTAATAGTTCTCTTTCTTAGAGGAGACTTGTTTTGCTAAACCACATTAATTTAATTAGATAAGTATACTATATAACTATTTCTCATTTTCATCACTTATCTCAACTATTATGTAATTTCCAGTTTAGTAGCGAATTCATGATTTTCTTGTAAGAGAAGACACCTTAAGAAATTTAATGTTAAAATAATAGTAAAAAAAATGATAGTATAAAATTTATACCATATACACAATAATTAAAAATTAGTATAAGGAAAGTAATGTTTATTTTTCCTAAAAATTGCTTGAATACTTTTATATGGTAATCATTACACATTTTGTGGGATCATTTAATCTGTCTATTCAAAGTTTTCAAAAATTATTAAAAACCCCTTTATAATTGTGAATAATTTAAAGTTTCCAAAGATTTTAAATAATTTAAAAGGGCTATTTAATAATTATAGAAGGATTTTTTTTTTTTTTTTTTTTTTATGATTTTCGAAAAATTTAGGAATACTAATATTAAACAATCCATATGTGAAATAATTAAATAAACCCCAAAATAAGAATAAACGTAATATAATTCGATATTCCAGCTTTAGTTTCTTTCTTTGTCCAATATCCTTAAAGCAGACACATAGTCTGCATGGTTTTCATACTTAAAGCTATACGAAAAATTGAACTATAGCATTACTCTTCCCCCGATTACACTCGTTGTGGGTCTTTTCTCGCCGCCGGTAAGCCCCTCCAAGCTCTCTCCCTCCAAGCTCTCTTTTACATCAATTTTTTACAGTAATTTTCTATGATGGTAGTCGTTGGTTATATATATGTATATATATATTTAACTTAGTTATATCTAGCCAATATATGTTCTGGGTCATCTCATTTCTTACAGAAAAATAGATATTATTGTTTACAGTTAATGTGCCCATTGAGAGGTGTTCGATGAAATGCGTCAAGGATGTTTTTTTTATTCACATATGAAATGAAAATTTATAGGCAGAAATGAAGGGTTTTATATGGGCTACGGCAGAAGACATGGCAAAAAACCGTGGGCGTGTTCTGTCCTTGTATCGGGAGCTATTGCGAAGCCTCAACTCTCCCAAACTGGAACTGAGTTTAGCAGCAAGGCTTTCGAAGAAGGCGGGGGCTCGTGCCATTTTCATGTTGGGGTCTGAAGAGCGATCCATTCACAACATTGAAGACCTCATTGACACTGCTGAGTACGCGCTTTCTCACTTGAAAGAGGTTAAAATCCCCAAACATATTCAATGAATAACTTCTTAATTCTTTTGTATTCATAATGTACTGACTGTCTTGTATGAAATAATGAATCTAAATCTGTCAGCGCTATATCACTTGAATTCTAGCTGCCCGAGTTTATTCAAAACTTCTGATTGTAGATAATTATTACTTCAGGATTTTAGATATTGACTTGATACAAGTTGATAGAGTACTTCTGATACTATATATATATATATATATATTTTAATTACTTCCTTTGGAATTAATTATCAGTAGTGATTATTTTATCATCTTGATTGCACAAGTTTTAAATGAAATAGTTGCAATTCTTATCACATCATTAGACATAGTACATCCTTTCACAAGGTTCCTACTTTAACGAAATCCTCAAGTAAAATTGTAACCATGTGTTGAAAAAAGTAGAAGGAAAATTTTAAATTTATTCAAGTTGTTAGATACAACATTACTTAATGCTATATGTTCGACTACAAACGAGGAATCCAGAAATTTGGCAATCCTTTATCACACTCATCTTCACACCTTACACGGTCACCCAATGGCAAGTTCCTGCATTAAGATAAAGCGGCTGAGTTATATATATATATAAAATAATTATATTATTTCAGAAAACATTGATCCATAACATTTGCACAAATTTCAAATGGATGTTAATTAATGGAGATCCTAAATCTGGAGGAAAAAAGTGGATGTATAATTTAATCGAACTAACCTTGTCAAGAGAATCACTTTTGCTTAGTCTTTCTATTGCATCTTCGAATAAGTCCATCAATCATCCGTAGAAACCATCGTGGTTTTACTGTTGAGAAAACTATATATCCTATAGATAAGCCGAGTGATAGTCCGCTTCCATAACCCATTATAATGACTTTCCAATCTAACCAGGTTAAATGTTGTGTTCTTCATCATGGTCTATTGATGATTCTGGTTGTGGTGCCTCATCAATATCACATTGTTCGACAACATAAATCCACAAAGTCCTAAGTTTCCACTGTACGAGTCATTTTGGAAGGTCTCGAACTAGTTCCACGGGGGAATCGGCCCCACAAAATGGTTTTGTGATAAGTTTAACTTTGCAAGAAAGGTCAAACCTACCAATTGCGATGGAATCACTCCAACAAGCTTGTTTGAAGATAGGTCTAAAGCTTCAAGTGCAGTCAAATTTTCTAAAGACAAAGGAATATGACTGGTTAGGCTATTTTGAGAGAGATTGAGGAGTCGAAGTGAATGAAGTTTTCCAATTGAGTTTGGAATTTCTCCGTGAAAACAATTGTTTGAAAAATCAATGGTAGTAAAAGTAGTAACAATTTTCTCCAGTCTGATTTCAAAACCTTTAACTACCATCGCCACTGAATCTTGATAATATGTTTCACCCATATAATCCAACTTCCTTTTGGCTTCATCAAGATTCATCATAGCTTTTAGATTCTTAAGGAACCTTGTTGGCAAACGACCACTAAAATTGTTGTGTGAGAGATCTAAGATTCTCAGCATAGGGAAAGAACTATTAAATTTAGAAGAACCCCACTCAAAACCGTAAAACTTGTAGAAGCGAAGAACAAGAACCTGCAACTTCGGAAGTTCTCTCAATCAATATGGGAAACTATCAATTATCTTGTTGTTTCCAAGATCTAGAACTTCAAGCATGATACAATTAACCAAACTTCCTGGGATTGGCCCTTCAAGTCCATTGCCATTGAGATTGAGAGTCCTAAAATGATTGCCTTGTGCAAATATTCCAGGAATGCTGCCATACAATCTATTTTTTCGTTGATCCAACACATGAAGACTACTAAAGTTTGCCATGCATTTTGGAATTATACCACTCAAATTATTATACGAAAGATCTAGAATTGCTATGTCACTCATATTGCAAAAGCTGAGAGGTATCTCACCCGTGAAATTGTTGTTTGACAACGAAAACAATATCAAGTAAGGTGGTGGATTTGGAAGTGGTCCCTGAATCAAGTTGGAGTGAAGGTCTAGAAATTCAAGATTTTTCCATAGAAGTTGTTGTTCCATGCCTGTAAGAAAGTTATGGGAAAGATTTAACCATTATAAACTTTCCTTTCGTGTCCCACACCCCCTTGGGAATTTGACCGTGGATTTTATTGTTAGAAAGGTCTAGCTCCATAAATTGGTGTGAGCTACATAAGAAATCTGGAAATTCACTTATTTACAACCCGATAATGTCAATGTCTCAAGTTTGGTAAAGGAAGAGTTAATGTTGAATGTGGTGCTCAATGATACATTGGTATTGGAAAGATAAAGCTCTTCAAGTTTTTTGAGCTTTGAAAACAAGTAAAGCTCAGTTCCACTTAAATTGTTTAAAGAAAGAGAGAGACTAGTCAGATTCACAAGTTCAAATATTGAACCTGGAACTGACCCTTGCAATCTATTATTTTGCAAATAAATAAATTTCAATGATTTACTTTGAAATTCATCTATTGTGCCAGTTAATTGGTTATAACCGAGGCCCACATACTGTAATAAAGGTAGAGTGAATAGCCAAGATGGTAGGGACCCATTGAAAGAGTTATCATATAAATTAATTAAAACCAAAATTCCATGGGGACTTACTTGAGAAGGGATTAGACGAGCTAGTTGATTAGACGCTAAGCTTAAATGAGAAAGTTGAGTTAAGTTTAAGTTATTGCTCTCAAGATATAATGTATGGAGCTTATCAAAATTGGAAAGAAATGAAGGGATTTGACCTGCAAAATTATTAGCTGAGAGGCTCAAATAATTAAGCTTTAAATAGGAACTGACCCATTGAGACCGCAACCAAGGAAATCCAAACGCGTCAAGTGCATGAGATTACCGATGGAATTAGGTAATTCTCCAGACAAAGTCATTTCAGAGACATCTAAAAATTTGAGGGGCCTACTCCAATTAACCTTTGGCAAAATACCTGTCAAATTGAAATTTCTTCCTAAATTTAGGATTTTTAAGCTGGGTAGGTGAAAGATGTTATTTGGAAACTTCCCTTGCAATTCACAATCCCAAAGACTCAAAGAAGACAAAGAAGAAGATAGATTCATGAAGGAACTTGGTACAACAGTAGACACGTTTACATAATCAAGAAGAAGTTCTGTTAAATCGGTCAAATTTTGAACTAACCCCTTTATTGAACTTCATTAGAGTCACGCGTAGGAGGCAGTGATGATGAAAGAGTGAAATTCTAAGGTTTCTGGGAATTTTAAGCAAAATCAAGCATTTCATTATTGTTTGTGCCGCTATGAGACTTTTTTTTATCTCGATTGAGACAAAGAGTTCACATGTATATTATTATTAGATATTACCTAGGTTTCTTGGTAACACAACAATGACAATTGATTAATGCTGAGTTTCCCTTTGTAATTGTCACCTGTATCTTAAACTAATAGCAATAAAATGATTATTATCACGTAGTCTATCTTATAAAGGGATTGCAAAAGGTGATTTGTTGCTTTTGTGATTTAAAAGCTGTTTTTAATACTGTTACCCAACCAAAAAAAAAAAAAATTCTTAAATAAACCAATGTTCTAAAACCGAAGCGAACCTCCATCTTCGAGGGTCTGATTCCCAAGTTGATCGGTTCGATCGAACTTCTTAGCTTGTTACAGTCAACAGTGCAGTCTTCGACTGCAACTTCAATACCTTTGAGTAAATTTTTGGCCGACACTTTCAACGGTCTCCAAATGTGCATTGGTGACTCCAACAGCAACTTCTCCAAATTTTGTAACTTTAATATATTTTTTTTATCTAAAAAGTTATTGTTAATACATTTTAAAAATGAAAGAACTTCTTAAAAAAAAAAAAAAGCTACTTTAGTCATTTTGCACAAATCAAATTTTATTACAAAAAAAAATAATTTTAAAATTAACTAAACACTCCTTATACATGTGGATCTTGTAGATCTAAAGTTGATTATTTATAAAATTGCTTATAAGTATTAAAAAATCTACGAGAGTCCCACACTATACTTAAGTATAACATATATATAAGTGGTCATATGTGAAATACCATTTAAAATTTATATATTAAAAATACCCATTATTGTATATTCTTCTAAAATTTCATAATATGTATTTCAAATAAATAGAAACTCGATATAATCCATGAATTAAGAATATAATTTTGCAAGATATTCATTACCGATTCTAATATTCATAATTTGTTAATTACAACATTATTTATTTTTCTAATAACTTTTTCTTATGAACAATTATTGTGCCCCTTATTTCAGAATTGTACTCTATTATTTTCTCTCTCCTCTCTCTCTCTCTCTCTCTCTTTTCCTGCTTTTATCCACTCAATCTTCTTTCCAACAAGACACCGTTAATAGATTACACTTTAACATAGGGTTATTACCATTGAAGATAAACTTTTCTAAAAAAATTAAGGGAAAAGGACACAAATTTCATTTGTATCAATAAACGGATACATTTATTAACCAACAAACATTTTCTATCAATAACAAATATTTTTTTAAACCTTTTATCAATAAACAAATTTTTTTTTTACCTAAAAATGTCATTTGATTGATGAAAATGTTCGTTTATGATATAAATGAAATTGTGTCTTTTTCCTTTAGCCTTTCTTTAAAAAAAAAAGGTCCTGTAATTGATAATATCCTCTTTTAACATGTTATCTCAATTATCGAACTTTTTTTTAACCACAACCCATCATATTGTAATGTAAACAAAGAAAAAGAAAAAAGCTAAATAAAATTTTAATAAAGAAACTAAATAGACAGGAGATAATTCCTCTCTATCTGTACTTGAACTCATCATTTGAAGACTCATTTGTGTGGGTGCAAATTTGAACTCTTTTATCTTTTGAATTAAACTTTTCATAAGAAGAGCATGTGGGGTATCATTTGTTAATCCCAGCGATTGCCTTAGTATCTCCATCCTACAATTCTGCGTAAGTATGCTGAGATAATCCTTGTCAACTATGTCTTCAATCTTCTGACGTTCTGGGCTAGATGCTGGATATTTTTCTTCAAAATCTTTCGATTTAACGTAATAAGTGACGCCCCTTTGAGTTTGGATTCGATGCTCATAGGGATAGCTTTTAGATAGAGAATAGTAAGCGTTGGCCATGATTGTTGTAGTCTTTAGAAGCAACATAAATACGAAATGAAGAGGAAGAAAGCAAATGCAATAATATTGCTAGTAAAGTTGCAGAAACAATTACGAACTTTGTGTGAAAGAATAATGGTTATGAACTTCATTACAGTCGATCCTATGTTTTCTTAGTTTTTTGGATAATTTTAAAGCATAATTCGGCCGGCTTCATTGTTGTTTGTAACGCTACGAGATTTGTCTTTTTATTTTTTTAATTTTGATGTTATGAGATAGTCCTAGCTCTTTGGATAAATTATTTCATTCATTAAAATTTTAAACACCAAATGACCAAGTTATTCTTTTTGCTTAAATAAAATCATAGTGGTGTTTTTTTATTCATTCAATTTCTATAAAGAAAAAAGAAGACTAACACCATAATTACATGATTATCTTTTACAAAAGGACAAAGTATGCTTGGAATTCATACCCATATAATTTATTTTTCTTAATTCAGAATTAACATTATCATCACCTTTCTCTTCTGGCTCTTACTCTTCATGCACATATTTCCACATTTTTGGTATTCAGGTGGTGATGTTTGGTTTTCTTTCTTTCCTCAACTAAGCTCCACACCCTGTATTTCATTCATAATCAGGAAGACAATAATTACTTATATATAAAAAGCACCATTTTCAATGAGAATATATTAAATTCGATCAATTCCAATGTCTATTATTGATTGAAAAACAAGTTTAAAAGACAAAATAAAATATTAAGATTAGAAAATATTTCTTATTTTATTATGACAAGGCTATTTTAAATAACCATTATGATATGCACGATGAGTTAGGCACCACGATTGAAAATCAAATCCACTAGATCGCTCATTTTCTCACTTTCGTTCACTATTTGCAGATCTTCAATCTGATTCAAAACTCTTGCTTCATATACGTCACTGCTCACAATAGGACTGCAACAATTATGCAAGAAACTAACACGCCACAAATTTGTTGTACTAGACCTGGCAAAACGGGTGGGTGGGCCGGGTACGGTCCGGGTTATACGGGTACGGTCATACGGGTGCGGGTCCTTATACGGTCGATATTACGGGTCCAATATTTGGACCCTGCCCTACCCTATATGGGTACGGTGGACCCGCGGTGGACCCGTTTTTTCATAATGAAATGCACATTATATCAAGCCCATTCTCACTGCTGGCTCTGTAGCCTTGTTTCGGTCTATTCTCTCTCCAAATCCATCCCCAAAAGTGGAGCCTTCTCGTCGTTAATATCGAAGTTGAGCGTAGCCCAGTTGAGAAATGAAGGGCTAGTTCTGGGTGTTTTTTGTGTTGGCAAGACTGGTGGCCACTTACTGGCAACAAGCGTTTTTGTGGGAGTGGCTTTGAGTGGGGTCCATGAATTGAGGGTTATGTTTTGAAAGGTTTTGCAGAGAGGCTGGCGTTTTTGAAGGTGGTTCTGTAATTTCGAGTACCTTAAATGCCCCTTGGTTTGCAGAGTCATGTAGATGTCTCTGTAAACCATTCTACTGCTGAATTTTCTGTGTCTTGCAACTTGCAGATTCTATGTTCCTCCATTGGTGATGGAGTGAAAAACTCTTGGCTTTGTGTTTGGAGGTTTTTCTCAACTGGTTTTTTTGCTTTTTGGATTTTTCTGGTAAAGTTCGTAGCTTTATTTAGTTTGTTGTGGTTTTTTAATTGCTATTTAGGCCCGAACCAGGAATGGGAATGACTGACGATTGACGAAGCAACGAGTGAGCATCGAAGCTGGTTCCTCACTGCCGTGAGATGCGGCCGCGATCTGAGACTAAGAGATCAGAGATGAATGTGAGATGAGAGTGACTCTGTGAGAGGGGGCGTGAGTGTGAACTGTGATCTCCGTGATAAAATTAAAGATTTTTAGGATTCAACATTCAGTGAATATTAGTAGCCTTGGCAAATACGGGTGCCCCGGT